TAAATAAAATCCAAAAGGTACAATAGATACTATGAAAGGGAAAGAAACTGCCCAAAGGAAAGGAACAGTGGGGATGAGGGAAAGGAAAAAAGAAAAAAAGAAAAAGAAAAAAAAAAATATATATATATATACACAGGATAGGTGGGATAATTATACTGCTGATTTCTACTAATCTATTGAAAGGAACAGTTAATGCTTAAATTTTTGTTCTTCTTTTTAATTTTTTTGACCAATTTTGCATGCTTCTGTCTGATAATCTGAACAACTAATTTGAAGACAATATGCAGTATAACAGCCATTGCTGAATTCCTATCATCTTGTCTAGTGAAATTCTGTATAATTCCTAATGTTTTTTAAATTATTATCTATTCTCTTTAAAATAAAAAAAAAAAAACACTCTATTTTCCCCTCTTTTTATTTCCGCCCATACTGGCTTTAAAAAAAAAGAATTAAAGCTTTATATATTAAGTTGAAAATCCTCACCATCCCCTCTCCCACCTATTTCTAATTTTATTTCGTTTCCTTCCCAAAGATAAGCAGATGGTGAAATTGATGAATATCCTGTCCAACCTTGATACTCCTGCCACATATGCATATCTATAAATGGTGCATAACCTTGTGGCCCAGTTTCCATTTCACATGAATGGAATGACAGTCCCCTTAACTCGCTTTGTGAATTGCATCTATATTGACAACTTTAGATCTGATTTATTGCATAGTATATAATGGAAAGTATAATGCTGGTTCTAGAATAATCATATTTTCCCCAAAATTTTACTTTGAAAAATTTTAAATCTACTGAGAATTTCCAATACTAATACTACAATATGTCATTTTAACATTTTTGCTATAATTGCTTTATTTCTGCCTCTGTCTCTATCTCTGTCTCTGTCTCTGTCTCTATCTCTGTCTCTGTCTCTCTGGTTCACTCTCTCAGTCACACACCTCAACACACACACACACACATCATTTGAGGGTAAGTTACAGACTATAGACATCTAGTTGCTAAATAAGCCCTATCCTTTTATCCAACTTGTTTACTTTTTCCCAGTCCAGAATTCAAATAAGAATCAGGCATTGCATTTAGTTACTGTGGCCCTTTAGTCTCCGTAATCTAGAAAGTCCTTCATTGTTTTTCGTCACATTAACATCTGAATTCTAGCCTTTTGCTTTACAGAATGTCCCTCTATGAGGGTTTGTTTGTTTGCTTCCTTGTGATTATCAGCTTAACCATTTTCAGTAGGAATACAATATAGGTCAGATTGTTGCCCAGAAATGGTGAACTGGTAAAACACAGCTTTGCTAGCCACTGCAAACCCGGAACACCGATGGCCCGCATCACTCCGGGGCTCCAAGTAGGGTTACAGCTCCAAATCCTGGGTTACCAATTGCTGCCACTGGCCTGTCTCTGTGGGACCTTGCCCTGGTTACGGCTGCTATGCTACGCGATGCTACCATTCTCCACTGCCAATCTCTGCTGACTTTCGCTGCTGGCCTTTGGAACTCTTCAGGGGTTCTGGCCCCTACTGTTTCTAGTTCTTTTTTCCCCACTGTGGTACTGGATGGAGATTGAACCTTGAACCACGCTGCCAGGATAAAAAACCTGAGCAGATTTATAGGCCTGTCCCAGCCCACTACCCAAGAAATAAATCACAAGCAGATTTATAGGACCATCAGAGTGAGGCTTTATTTGAGCAGGGCCTGTGATGTAGCACAGGGTAGGGGGTATGGAGGGTGGGAGGGCATGTCACTGCATAAGGAGGCCTCTTAGCCCAACCTACGAAGGGTGAGGAATGCTGCCTGCATAAGAGCAGCAGGCCTGTGATTGGTCCAAATTGGTCCAAAATCAAGCTGTCTGTTTCCAACAAAATCATGTCGCTGGTATTTTAACTTGCTTTCCCTGGCTGTTAACGCAAATGGGCATTTTGGCATGTGCTTCATGACCTTGCAGACTTCTTTTTTTTTTTTTTTTTTGGTTTTTCTCCGGTACCGGGAACCGAACTCACGACCTTGCGCTTGCAAGGCAGGCGCTTTGCCGCTGAGCTAAATCCCCAGCCCCCAACCTTGCAGACTTCTGCCTTCAGACCTGTGTTAACCACTTACTTGTCCAATTATTTAAACACAAGATGACCAAAAATTGCACATTCTTCATTAATTTTTATAACAGGAACTATAAAAATGACAATTTTCTTAAATTTAGTCAATACAAGAATCAACTGGATGAAATGATACTTCTTTGAGTGGCACTCAGGGTAGACTGTTGAATGGTTAATTCTGGCCTTTTTGCCTTCATCTGCACCCTGGGCCTTCCCTGCTCTGCTCTGTTGGAGAGTTGGGAGGACGGGAGGAGATGGACTCCCTGAGCTCTGGAATGAGCTACTTCCAGGAGGTAAGAAATTGGTGGCCAAGACAAGAATCTTTTGTAATATGTGTTGCAAATATATTCTCTAAACATGCCAGTTGTTCTGGAACTTTATTTATGGTGTCTTTGCTTGCACAAAAACTTTAATCTGCTTTTAGTATCTTGTTTGAAAGTCCTTTATGAGCCTGGGAACATTAAGATAGCTTTCCTAATTTCATTCTTTTCTAAATTTTTAAATTTTTTATACTTAGGACTTTAATCCTTTAATGCACTTCAGTTTATTTTGGAGTGTAGTATTAGGCTGAAATTTAATAGCATTTGTTAAATAACCCACCCTTTACCCATTGTTGATAATTTGAAGTCCTGGGGATGAAACCCAGAGCCTCCTGCACGCTAGATAAATATGTGTTTTTCCACTGAATAACACCCCCAGGCCCTTCCCTTCCATTTTAATGTATTCTATTTCACATACGTTTCCACCTGTGTAGGTCTATTTGTGGATGTTGTTTATGTTGCTTTGATCTATTTTTCTATATTTGCACTGATGTATTTCTGGCTGATTATTATAATTTTTAAAAGCCAAGCATGATGGTGCCCAACCGTAATGCCTGCTCTTGGGAGCCTGAGGCAAGAGGACCACCATGGGTTGGAGGTCAGCCTGAGTTACATAGTGAGTTCAAAATTAGCCTGAACTACATCGTGAGACCCTGTCTCAAAAAAAAAAAAATTTTTTTTTAATCTTCACGCATACTAGGGAAAGTCCTTCATTTCTAAAGAAGGACTTTCTTCTTCTTTAGAAATGTCTTGGTTATTCT